GCCAACTGGCCGCAAGAAAGAATGATGGGAGTGAGTGTGAAGAGCATGGCTGTGCACACGGGAAGGTGGTAGGTGGGACGGGAAGAAGTGTGTAGAGTATGTGCCCGTGAAGCAGGATTGCTTCCTTTGGAGGCGAAAGTTGCCTCTGTTTTAGCTGGCACACCCCAGGGAGTGGCTGCCTTGAAGCTGATTTTGGGGACCCGTGCTCAACTTCAGGGTGGCTCTAGTAACTGCTGCCACATCCCATTTCAGGGACCAATAGAGGGCAGTCCTCCCACACAGAGTCCTCAGAGGTAGCAAGGGGGAGCCCTGAATGACTGGTCAAACACTAATTCTAGGACCTTCAAATGTGACAGGCAGGGGACAGACCAGCTCTTTCAGCTGCCTCTGGCCTCCATCTCAAAGTTCAAGGCTGTAGGTAGCTCCTCTTGGCTGAGCTTAGGGGGAACAGCTGATCCAGATAATCCAACTCCTCTCACTCTATCTCCTGTAATGGGAGGTCTCCTTTCTAGAGCTAGGGAAAGTCCCTGGGAGGGTGACAGCCTGGCCCTGGGTGGTCACTGGGAGACTGAGTCTCCTCCATGCGGGCCCAGAGTTTTTCCAGGGGAAGCTGCTAAATAGCTTTAAGTGTGCAGCTGTGGTGGGGGGTCAGCTAGTCCTGTGGATATTCAATCAAGCCCCAGGGCCAAGGGATGATCGCCTAGGACTATGCCATGACCGTCAGCTATTGCAACATCCTGAGGTAGATGGTGGGGGAGAATATCAATGTCCTTGGGACTCAGGCAGGGTCTCTTTTGGGTTTGCCTTGATGACCACAGGTGACCATGATGATCTCCTTTTTTTTTTTTTTTTCCAGGGTTGGCCCACCTCACCGTGCAAATGTTCTTCCAGCTCACAGCATGATTTGCAGTGTAGCATGGATTTTCTTTTTCCCTTCTACTTCTGGGATCAGCTATGGATTTGCATGCACAGTGACATACACACAAATTCTTATACCCACATGCAGAGGCTTCCATGGGGAGAAGAAAGTCCCTTCAAGCTTTACCAGAACCTATGGCCACAGGATCGCAGGAAATAATTTTGTTCAAGCATGAAAGGGAGGAAGATGGGAACAGAAAATCCCAAATTTGTTAGGGAAAGCTTAGGCTCTCTCTCTCTTTTTTTTCTGGAGGTCAATGTTAGGGATGTGTGCCTCTCTTGGACGAAAGGAAGTCTGAGGTTTTCTTGGACAAACAGGTAGACACACATACACATAGCACGAAGAAACGGCGGGCAAGGCCACAGCTCGCTCTGTGTTTCTTAAACTCTGCTCTATCCAGGAAATAAAACTCCAGGGGAAAATATTTTTCTCCCTTTGGTTTTCTCTTTATAAAGTGAAAGGTGCTGAGATTCCTACCGTCATCCTGGGCTGAAGTCTGGGGAAAGAACCCCTGGGGCTTTCTGCCACCAAGGGTTGATCACTGGTTAGGTGTCCCAGGCTGGTGTCTCATTAAACAAAATCCTTGCAGAGTGGAAGATTTTCTTCCATCCCCTTGCCCAATTTTTTTTCTTTTCTTTTCTTTTTTGTTCTATTCCTCAGCTGCTGCTGGTTCTTGGGAAGCTGCATTGTTTTGCTGTTTTTGAGTTGACTTGCTTAAATAATAAACCCACCCTCTTGTATAGGATTAAGCAGACAATTAGGAAATCAATCAATCAATTGGTGTCAGCTGCAGGCAGAGGCCAGTGAAAGGCCCCATCTTCCCGGTAGCCCTTTCCAACCTCAAAACCTGCTGAGGCTCTGGGCCTGCAACCTGCTGAGGCTCTGGGCCTGTAGGGGCGGGGAGCCCTGAGCTTCATCTGCTTCCATTTCAGGGCCCTGAGGCTGGGACAAATCCGGGGATGGAGAAATAAAGAGGGAGTAAGGAGGAGTGTGGGATGGCTTCGAAGTTTTGTACTTAGCAAAAATGAGAGGCAAGGAAGGGTGGCCAGTGGCTCCTGAATATGCCATTATCCTGATGGTCATCAAGTCCCTGGCCTCCTCTTTAAGATGTACAAGGAGTACACTGGCTCACAAGTATGGAGAAAGGCCGGGACACTGGTGTCAATTACAGGGCTATCTGTTCACCAGGCTGGGCTGACAGAGCTAAAAAAAAAAATAAATAAAATAAAATTGAAGCAGGGGTGAAAACCACGATAGCCCTCGTACTTGCAGAGAAAATCCTTCCCACCAAGATTAAGGGGCAGAGCCCAAAAAGTCACCAGAAAGTCAGCCTGGCACAATCATCTTGAGGTCTCAACTTGGCCAGGGACCACCAACTTAGGAGCCTGGAATGTCTCTCTGGGTATCCTGGATGCCATCGGCTACAGCCAAGGCCTCTCATAGGCTGCACTTCGGCAGCTTCCCAGGCACGGCAGGTCCCACATACCCCTTCAGGAGGGACACAACTTTCTCCCCAGCCAAATGAGTATGCCTTCAAGCTTTGGCTCCCAGAAGAGTATGAGAAACTTTGTGTGATTTTTTTTTTTTTTTTCTTCCTGAGAAGAAAAGAGTGCATCGATGAAGCACACAGAAAGTTGTTTTAAGGGGAAAAATAAGATCTTGACTGGGACACAGATGGTACTGCTTTGGACCTGAACTTAGGTCTGCTCCCAGCTGCCGTCTCAGAGAGGATGTGACTGCTGAATGCTTGAGAGGGCAATGTCTCAGAATGTCTATGGTGTCCCCTGCCAGGTCTCCACGTCACGGTCACAGAGTCCTTCCTCTCTCCAGTATATGTATCACGCCCTGTGGTGGAGGGGGGAAGGTTCTTGAGTCCACCCTTGGAAAATATGTCAGGTACTTCTGGTGGCACAGTCATGACCCCACTTCTTCCCAAGAGAAGTAGGTAGGGGCAGGTGGATTGTTTGCAGAGAGGTAGGACTGGCTTTGCCTAAGCAAAGAGGCATGGCTTTCTCCCAGGCTCATTCAGACCTGCAGGACCACTGAATGAACTTCAGTCTAAGCTCTCAGAATGCCCAGAGGATCCAGGTGGGCTTGGGCACCATCTGGTTATGGTGAAATGGGAACGGTAGTCAATTGGGACAGAAAGGTGGGGCCTGACCAGGCTTCCAGCTGTGCCAGGACCTGGAATGGCAAAATTCATCTGGACCCCACACATGGGATACAAAGTAAAACCAAAGTTACGGATTGGGGTGTCAGGCAGGGGATACAGAGATCCTAGGCTAGAGGTCAAGGCCAAGGAGGACTTCTTCCTTGGCTGGGAAGAGCAGTTATGTTGTACCTGACTAATGGCTGACCCAAGTTCTGGGTGGTGTCTGTAGTTTTCTGTCCGGGGTCTGGTCTGCAGAGTCTAGTTATGGGAAGGGTACAAGAAGCAGCTTTATCTTCCCTAGTCTGAGGGACCTGGGGTAGGGGCCAAACTGTTGCCCAAATAATAGGCATACTAATACTGGCCTGAAATAGTGAGGCCAGATCTTTGCGGGAGGAGAGGAAGAGCATCCCATGGCTTCGACCAAAAACCGCCCCAGCCCTAGGAGTAAAGAGGACAGGACACAGCCCTGGGTTACAAGTTTATGTGAGTAATAAAATATTTACTATAACATAAATATAAAGGGAACTTCCCAGTCTACATTATTTTTTTTTGCAATAAAGATACAAAGAGAATGCACCAAAACATTGTTCCAAAAAATAATAAAAATAAAATAACAAAATTTAAATTCAAACCTTAACAGAAGAAGAAATGGAAAAGGGGGAAGCTCCAAACATATCCAGAAAATAAATAGAGATGGGTCAGAAATCAGGAAATCATATTAAAATATCTTTTTCGGATTAGTTGGGTGTACAAAATCCTTTAGGATGGGGAGGGAGGACAACCCAGAAAACCAAAAATAAAATCCAAGCACAAAATGTTTCTTTTCCCCGCCAGTGTGTACATATCTCACATATTTACATGGTTCCCACCTCACCCCAAACTTGGGGAATTTCTCTCCCCGCCTCCCCCAGCATCCCGCATCCAGGGGGGGCTGGAAAGGGAGCAGAGGGAAGCTGCAGGGAATCAGGCAGAAGGTTCTCAGGGAACGGCTTATTTCTACAGCTGGTTAAAAAATATTTCCAACTTTTCCAAGTTTCGTTTGTTATGGCCAGGAGGGCAGGGCCCCGCGGGGAGCAGAAGCCCCAACGGTTTCATGGTTAGTCCGCAGCTGGGCAGAAGCCCCTTCCCACTCGAGTGTGTGGGAGCGCAGACCCCTCCGGCGAGGCCGGGAACGAGCCGAGGCTCGGATGAAACGAAACGAAAAAAGAACCCCCGAATTTTTTTTTTTTTTTTTTTTTTTTTTTTTTGCTTTTTTTGTTTTGCTTTTTTTTGAGAGGGGAGGGTTAAGGGAAAGAGAAGAGGAAAAATAAATTAGGCTAGATTAAAGCTTTGGCTATTTCCTGCTTTTTATACACAGACGCGGCTCTCGCGGCCTCCCCTCCGGGGCCCCGATAAATACAGTATACAGCGATTTAAATTAAGGGCGCGGGCGGAGTTAGAAGGACCCCAGAAGCCGAGAGGCTCCACAAATAAATAAAAATCGTAAAAAACCAAGCCCGAAGAAAGGGGAAGAGGTGGGGTGGGGCGCATCCTTATGGGAGAGAAGAGGCGTGGAGCGAATAAAGTGACAGCCCCCCCCGCATCCTTGACCCGCAGGCTGGGGAGTCCGCCCCAGGGAGTGGGGATGGGGGGAACTCTCCTCTCTTCGTCCTCTCTCCCGGGGAATCCCTAACCCCGCACCGCATTACCTGTCGCTGTGGGGAGACCGCTGCCGGGATCCGGCCCCGAACAGCCCGGGGGGGCAGGGGCGGGGGTCGTCGAGGGGATGGGGGCAGGGAGCAGGCGGCGGGCAGGATGCCCAGGGTGAGTTGGCGCGTTCTGGATCTTCGCTTCTTTCTCAGGGGCTCGGGCGACACAGCCTACCGGCCGTCTTCGCCGCTTGCCGGAGAGGGTCGTCCGGGTGTTTGGTTTTGTTCGAAAGTTTCTGGGCTTTTTGTAAAATCCAAAGCAACCGAACAAAAAGAGTCCAGGCCGCGCGGGCGGACTGCGCGCCCGCGCCTTGCCGCGCGCCGGCAGGGACCCAGCCGGCAGGGTCACTGCACAGAGCCTGGAAGTGTGTGGTGGTGGTGGTGGTGCAGCGCGGCTGGCGGGGGTGGCGGGGGTGCGGAGGGCGGCGACGCGCCGCCCCCGCCCGGCCCCAGCTCCCCGGGCGCGTAAACGTCGTCCATGGGCGGGTGGCCGGCGCCCGCCGCGGGGGTCATGCGCTTCTCTTTCTGCCGCCGGTTGCAGAACCAGACGCGCACCACCTCCTTCTCCAGCTGCAGGCTGTCGGCCAGGCCTGTGATCTCGTGGGCCGAGGGCTTGGGGCACTTGAGGAAGTGGCTCTCGAGCGCGCCTTTGACTCCCACCTCGATGGACGTGCGCTTCTTGCGCTTGCGGCCCTGGGCCGCGATCTTGTCCAGGTTGGTGGGGCTGCCGCTGGAAGAGTCGGTCTCCTCCAGCCACTTGTTGAGCAGAGGCTTGAGCTTGCACATGTTCTTGAAGCTCAGCTGCAGGGCCTCGAAGCGGCAGATGGTGGTCTGCGAGAACACGTTACCGTACAGTGTGCCCAGCGCCAGCCCCACGTCGGCCTGTGTGAAGCCCAGCTTGATGCGCCGCTGCTTGAACTGCTTGGCGAACTGCTCCAGGTCGTCCGAGCTGGGCGCATCCTCGTCCGAGTGTTCTCCTACCGACGAGCCGCCGCCGCCCGCGCCAGGGTGCAGGTGCGCCGCCGCCGCGTGCAGGCCGCCCGCATGTGCATGTCCGTGTGCGTGTCCGTGGGCGCCCAGGTGCGGCGGCGGCGATGGCTCCAGCTGTGCCTCGTGGCCGTCCTCGTGCAGCGCATGGTGCAGGCCGGGCCCCGCGCCGCCACCGCCCGCCGCCAGCATCCCGGCCAGGCCGCCGCCGCCGCCCCCTGGGTAGGCCGCCTGCGCATACAGCCCGAGCGGCTGGGGTTGATGGCCCCCGCCAGCCCCGGGCGACGGCGACATGGCCGGGCCCAAGTGGTGAGCCGTGCCGCCCTGCGCCCAAGCCGCGCCCGCGTGGGCCGCCCCCTGGTGCACCAGGCGCGCGTGGAAACCTCCGCCGCCGCCGCCGTCGTCGGCTCGGCCGGTGCCACCGCCGCCCGCCTTGCCGTGTTCCAGGTGCGGGCCGCCGGCCCAGTCGCCGCCGCCGCCTCCTCCGGTGGGTAGCCACTGGGGGTGCGCTAGGCCCACGGGGTGGCCCGCGCCCGCGCCCAGCCACTCGTGGTGCATCAGCTTCTGCACTTCGCGGTACGCGGCTCCCGCGTGCAGCCGCTCGGCGGCCGCCGCGGCTGCAGCTGCCGCCGCAGCGTCCGGATGCATGAGCGGCCCCGTACCCCCGGCTCCACCGCCGGGGCCCCGCGGCAAGTACTGCGCGGTGGTGGCCATGCCGCCCCGCGCCCTGCGCCGCGCCGCCGCCGCCGCTCCGCTCCGTCTGCGGGCCCCGCCGCCGCGCTCCGCAGGCTTAAAGCCCGGACCCGCTCCGCGCTCCGGAGCCCCACCCCTCCCGCCGCCCATTGGCTGCCCGCGGAGCCGCCTCCCGCCCCCCGGCCTCGGCCCCCGCCCCCTGTGCCCGCCTGCCGCCTGGCCCGGCCACCCAGAGCTCGCCATTGGGCCTCGCTCCCGGGGTCCCGCGCGCCGGCCGTGCTGATTGGCCGCTGGGGCTTCATTCACAGCCCCCCTACCGTCCGCGTACACATTCACGCCCCGGGGGCGCGGCCGCCACGTGGGGAGTGGCGCGGGGGTGGCACTGGGACCGCACCCCCTCTGGTCCTAGCTGCGTGGGCCCCGCTTTCCCCCAGTGCTGGAGACTCGGAGCCCGACCGGCCCCATATTCCACGCGAGCTGAATGCCTGTCCGCATCCCACCCGGGCGGCGGGGACTGCGGGCTCCGGGAGGCGCTCGGGCTCCAAGAAGCGACTCAGCCCCTCACTTCCTCCCTCCTCAGTGCGGCTGCCTGCGGGCTAGGATTCCCGCGGGTCTCCGCGGCGGCGAGCGCGAGGCGGCGCGGGTTCCGGCTCTGTTCCCGCTCGGCTGCTCACCTCTGCCGCCTCGCCTCCCGCGGCTTCCAGTTTTCACCGAGCGCTCCTCCGTATGCCTGCCTGGCCCGTCTCGTTTTCCCTCTTCTCTCTCTAGACTCATCGCGGACCTCTGCGGCCCTGACAGAGCGCGCAGAGTCGGATGGCCTGGGCTTCATGCCCTGCGCGGGCATCCCTTCCTGCTGCCGGACGCCGAAGCCAGGTGAGTAAGGCGCGGGAGGCTCCGCACCAGGACAGCGGGCGGCAGCGGTTATGTGCTGAGACGCGAGCTCCTGTCACCCGGCCGTGTTCTGGGGTTTGAGAATGAGAGGACCTTGAGGTGGAGACCGTGGCTCCGGGGAAAACGCCACCTGCGGGGGTGATGGACCCTGGGCCCAGTTTTGCGCTGCTGTAGCCTTCTCACTCCATCTCCTTCCAGCTTGAACTGCTCATAGGCGATGATCATGGAGGGGTAACACCCTGGGGAGACTTGCTCTAGGAAAGGAATGGTGTAGACTCAGGGAAGGGTAGCTGGCACTTCAGAAATCCAGAACACAGGCTGGGAGCTGTCCAGCTTCGCGTGGAATCCTGGAGTTTACCCAGACTTGCCTGGGGCTGCCGAAAAGGGAACTGAGGTTGAGAAGTCCCTGTTGAAAAGGTGGGCAGTGGAATTCCACCACTTCCTCACACTTGGAACTCTTCGGAGGATCCTGAGAGGAGTAGGACTTCACTTGTGCCTCCTTACCCCACTTTGGGCCCCACCCTAAATGTCCTGAGCTGTAACTTCCACCACTTCCTACATCTAGCCTTGAGTCCCAGGGAGACTTTTTCACTGCCAATCCCCCTTTTCTGTTCCCGATATTAACCTCTAATGGATTAATACATTTCAGGACCCTGCCATTTCCAATCACAGGGCTGAGCTAAGTGCCTAGCTAGGGCCCTATTGGGAAAGTCAGTCCTGTGGAATGAAGCCTCAGTATGTGAAGGAAGAAAGGTGTGTGATGGGGACTTGGGGTGACCGCTGCTGTGGAGGTGATTCAAGGGTGGCTGGGACAGTGACAAGGGTTACCCTAGGCATAGAATGTGCTCATCTGGGCTCTGAATGTCCCAAATCCAGCCTTTGGCTATTCCTCTACTCCAAGGGAAGGAGTGGAACAGGGCATGGTTCTTGTCTGGCCAGTGGTCAGTGTCCTGAACAACATCCTTTAGGTCCCATTCTAGATCAGCAGTTGTGAACGCGGCTAAGGACACTGGGTTTTCCTGGACTCTGGCCCAGGAAGTGTCACCTTGAGGCAGCCCAGGTCTTCCTGGCCCACTGGGCTCCCTGGGCTTTCTCCCAGATCCAGGAGGTAGGACCAAGGCCAGAGTCCTTAAATGAAGTCTCCTCTCGTGCCAGCCCTAAGTAGGCCTGTATAACACTGAAACTTAGATTTTCAACCTGAAATTGCCACTCTTTCTGGGCAAGTATGACTCTGGTACATTCACTCTGGTCCTTCAGTTTTCTTCCTGTAAATTGGGAATAGTGGTATTATGGGCAGCCCAACTGTCTCACTAAGTAAGCAGATTGTGAAACAAAGGGAGTAAAAATCTCTCAGAAAGTGCTTTTACTCTGTTTGTTCCTATTGTTCATTCCCAGTGGGTGAGCAGGGTACTCCCATCTCTAACTAAATTTCAATTTCCTCATCTGTAGATTGGCATGATGGAGGTTTGGACTATCTGACTTCTCATGTCCTTCTACCTCTGATGGTCAGTGATTTTGTAAATCAGTCCCAGTTCCTATTGGAGGATGGGAAATGTCTGGATGTGGGTATCATGATGTCCAGGCTTTTGGAGTTGCCACTGAGGCTTGGAAAACAGTGACCAGTGGGCTTGGTGCTTTAGAAAGCACTTTTGTGCCTCTTAGTTCTGCCCTCAGTGCATAGATAGGGAGCTGAGATTTGCCCAGGGGCGCAAGACTCATGTGTTCCCTGTCATCACTTTCCTGCTTGCTGTGGAATGGGGGAGGGTGCCTGTGGAGGCAGCAGCTTTGGCCATCAGGCCAAAGAGAGCCCTCAGCCCTATTTCTGGGAGCTCTCAGGGGCAGGTCAAGGCCAGCTGGCAGTCTGGAAGCTGGCTTCTCAGGTCTGTGCTGAATTGAGGGGAGTCTGCAGCAAAGCAGTAGCCAAGCTTCTAGGTAACCAGCTTGTCGCCCAGTAAATATCAGCCCAAGTTCCATCACTCCCATTAGCAGCCTGCGACTTGGTGTGAATTACCTTACCTCTCAGAGGCTCACTTAGATCTTAAAATGTCTGAGCATCCTCTTCAGTCTTGTTCCTAGAGATTCTGTGTGGGACACTGGGGGCTGTGACACTGCCACTGGCAGACACCTGCACAACCCAACAGCCCCTCTCTCCAGGAGCACCACCTTCACAGACCCTGGGGAGAACTTTTCCTCATACCACACCACGCAGCTGCAGGTGTACCCATGGAAGTCAGGCACTCACACAGAGTGGTGAAGACATTGCCAACTGACGGGCATTCACACGTTTACACACTTGACACACAGATACAGATGCACATTTTAGCACAAGGGCAAACATACTGATTCACATTAGGAACACAAGGACTTGTGTCATTAGGCCAAATACTCAGAATGATATAAAGCAACGCCTAACAATAAACACAGGCATGTGTCTAAATGGGGACAAACAGAACACGCACATAACTGAAATAGGCCTATACTTAGGCACTCCTTCACTGATACTGAGAGCCAAGAGCCCTCCAGGCCCACAAGGTCACAAACATGGAGACTCTCAGCCAGCATGCAGTGTTATTCACACAAATAGGCACACCTTGCTATTCACACAATACACACAAGGCCCGACATGCACACTGTCCCTCCCAGATGCAGATACAAAGAGGCCCACCCCCATACCTCCCAAAGACACACAGCCATCCACAACCATATCCTCAAGGAACCAACAGATCTGCTCAAAGGATCAGAAAGCAGGAAGGGGGCTGTGTTCAGCTCAGAGTTTGGTCCATGTGGTTGGCCGCAGTGTTAGTCCCAAGGAAACAGCATTGGAAGTCCTTTTTCATATTTTCCCCCATTCTCCTAGTCTGCGGAGGGCAGCTCCCAGTCAGGCTGCTGCGGGTCTTAGGCTCCCTGGCCTCCCTCCCTAGCGGGGCCCCTGCACAGCCCGCCCCCAGGCAGGAGCTGCTCAGCTTTCCCATAGCAGGGAGGCCTCCTCCAGGCTCTGGAGTGTGACCGAGCGCCTGCTCATTTGACACAGGTCACCGAGCCTCCAGCAGATGGGGCCCTCGCTGTGGGGGGTCTCTGAGCCGGAGGGGATGCTGGGGAGGGGGGTAGGCTCTGCAAGGAGGAGGGGCAGCTACACAAGCTCCAGCCCCATGAACTCTGTCTGCAAAGCCCCGGGGTCACAGACATGGACCTCCTCCCAGGAGACACAGACATGGCCTCTACAACACAACCACACTCCGTCGCCATCAGCACCCTGATGGTCACATGTGCATCGCAACAGTCCAGTCCCTCATCCCAGGCAGGGGTGTCTGCACAAAGGCGTGCCAGGCCCAGATTTCGGGAGGAGAATGAGGCTCAGTCTTGGCCAGCGTCTCCTGGGGGGGGAGTGGGGTCTGGCTGCTTTGGTCTCTGAGCCCCAGAGCTCCCTTCTGTCAGATGGGCAGTTGGTCAGGAGGACGGCAAGTACAGAGAGAGTCCGCTGCAGCTGCAGACCCCAGACCTTTTCAGTGCTGAGGGAGGAGAGGCTCCAGGACATGCCACCTAGGGTCCTTGCACATCAGGAGCATTGGGAAGAGGTAAAGAGAGGAGAGGAGGGGTCCACAGGGAGGGCTGCTGCAGGAGCTGAGTTTTATGATGTTTGTCTGTGTGGGTTTTGAGTTTTTGTCTTGCTGCCTGGGCTGGGGCAGTACTCACAGCCCACTTCCTTGTCCATCTGCCAGTCATCTCCTCGCGCCCCAGATTGTACGTTTTCAGAGGACCTTGCTTGGGAGTCAAACATCCTGGGTTTCATCTGGGCCCTGACTCAAGTTTGTTGGATGACCTGGGGTCAGGCTTAGTTTCCTCTTCTCTGTGACCCTCAGTATTTTCATCTGTTAACTGGGCAGGGTGGTCTCTGTTGGGCTGCTTGGAAAAGTGGGATGAAATCACTGCTCGGATGGAAGCTTGGAAAGGGAGAGTGTGACTGTGTCCCGGTGCTCCCTTGGCCATCTGGGGTGAGTCAGTTGGAGCAGAACCTGCCTGCTCCTCCCAGCCAGTTCTTGCTGAATGGTGTCAGGAGCAACCACGCCCACTGGGGAATCCCTGCCCTGCTTATTCTGGGCTGGAATGTGATTTTTGACTGGACGAGTCTGGCGGGGTCCTGTCTGCTATAGTTTCCATGTCTTGGGTGGTGAAAGTGGGGGCGGGGGTGCCAGAGTCATCTTGTCCACCTGCAGCCTTGGTACAGGTGGGTGCCAGTTAGACAAATATGTAGTGCTTATCACCATTGGAAAGCTCTCCCCTCAAGCCCCACATCTTCTTTCCAAACTCAGTCCCTTCAGGGGTCTGGTACCTCTTCTGTCCTTCCTGTGCCCTCTAGAACCTAGAACAGAGGAGGGCAGTGGAGGTGAGATGTGGCTGCCTTTGGCAGAGGAGAAAGAGGCAGTCTCGCTGGATGTGGTGGCACACACCTGTAATCCCAGTGGCTTGGGAGGCTGAGACAGGAAAATTGTGAGTTCAAAGCCAGCTTCAGCAATGGTGAGGCTCCAAGCAATTCAGTGAGACCCTGTCTCTAAATAAAATACAAAATAGGGCTGGGGTGCGGCTCAGTAGTCAAGTGACCCTGAGTTCAATTCCCAGTACCCGCCCCCCCCCCCCAAAAAAAAAAAAGAAAGAAAGAAAAATAAGGCAGTCTCACTTACCTAATATCAGGTTCCCTGTCCCAGTCTTGGTGAAGGGAAGGAGGGGTAGAAGGTGAAGTGTCTCTTTGGGACAGATCTTCCCTTGCATTTTCCCCCATCATAGTCCCTAGGCCTATGGGTGGGAATGAGGGTCTTCCTAGTGTATCAGTAGCATGTTCAAATTAGGAATGGTCAATTGCTCTTGAAATTTACTTTCATTTTTAGCCTCTGAGCTGGTGTTAATGCCCACAATCCAGTTATGCAGAACACGCTCTCTGCAAATCGGTAAATCATTAGGAGGGATTAATCACTCTGAAGGGCTGG